TGTCAGTGAAGGTCTCGCAGCTTTCACCTTTACTTCGATAAGCAAAAGTATTGATGTGTGGAAAAATCCAGTGTGAGTTCCATCTGAAACCATATGCAGAAAGTTTTAGGAAAACATGTCCTATATAGATCTGATATCTAATGACCATAAAAAGAGGATTTTTCCATCTCATAAACTGTAGTTTTGTAAGAAATGTCTGCCTGCGCTGATCCAAACCAGAATACATGGGATGCACACCCATTGTTGCATAGGTACAAGTGTGTTCAGTCTATATTCTCACCCTAATGCTATTTTGCTCTTTGCATGAACTCAAGAATCTTGAATATGACTGTCACGTTATGGGAAGGCATGAGGAAAAATAAGAAAGATGCAAGCAACTGACCATCAACTCAAAAGAATAGCTAGGACAACAAGTAGCCATTATTACTCGAGTATTGTTACTTGGGGGAAGAGACCGACCCCCACCTCACTACAGCCTCCTTTCAGGTAGTTGCAGAGAGTGATAAGGTCTCCCCTCAGCCTCCTCTGCTCCAAACTGGCCCCCAGCTCCCTCAGCCGCTCCTCGTAAGACTTGTTCTCCAGACCCTTCACCAGCTTCGTCCCTTTAAGAAAGGAAAAAAAAGGAGGAAAGCAATGAGCAATGGAAGCACTTGAAAGTACCAGTTAAAAGGGTGCAGTATAGCTAAACAGATAAAATGTTGCTTAAAAGACAAGTTTTAATCAGTCTCATGGGCAGATTAAAAGGCACAAAAATAACAGCACTTTTAAACTGTGAATGTGCTGCACAGCGAAGCTGTGCCTTTCTGTAACTGCAAGTCACGCCAAAACAAAGAAAAGTAAAAATGAATAACCCCGTTTAAATCTGCACCATACTGAAGCGGCAGAACTGCTTAAGGAGCAATATGATAAAAGAATATTAACATCTCTTCAAATTGATCAGAAGCAGGCAGTCTGCAAGAGTTCGCAAGCCCAGGAAATGAACAAGCATGAAAGGAGCCTTTGAGAATTCGAAGGCTACGTGACAAAAGCCAAATGAATCATTTGTCTGTGACAGAGACTACTTTCCCCAAATTTTTAAAAACTAGGGGTGAATGAACAAGGACCTGCCTGAAACACGTTAGAACAAATTTGTGCATCAGGACCAAGTCATTAGGACGCAATGGTACTTTTTATCACCAACTTCACAGCATGAAGTTGAAAAGCAGTAATGCCTCAGAACAACTGAGCAAACGAGTCTCTGAAGGAGGCAGCACCTAACCGCAGAGGGTGACTCAAGGGAACACACTTTATTTTCAAGAAGTCTTCAGATAGGTCCTTCAAGGGCGTGATAGCTACCATGAAATAGGAGGGACCTTTAGTCTACTCCTAGGCCATTAATTCAGAAAGGAGAGGAACAAATAGATAGTTTTCATTAAGTGAAAAGATTTCAACGCTGGTTTCGGCATCAGTTGATGTGAAAAAAGCAGAATACTCAAAGGTAACCATGAGTGCAGACTCCAAAAGATCTTGATTCTGACAAGATCCTCATGGACAGAACAACAGGCAGAATGCCATTTATTTTATAAATAAATTCTAAATATTATTATTTAATGCCATTTATTGCATGACCAATGAATCTGGGAAGGAAAGCTCCAACCCTAGTTCTAAGATAGCTTCTACTGCCTTCAGAAAGTTCTGGAAGTGTGGAAAGCTCACTGAAAACATCAGCCTAAGCTATCAAATGGAAACAAGCTTACTAGTTCAGGAAAACGGGAGACAGCGTTTAGAAATTATCTATGCTGAATACCATCAACTAGCGTAGAACCTAAGAGAAGGAAGATTTAGAAAACCTGCACAGGGCAGCATGGATCAGATATGAAACCACACTCACATAAGGCAAGACTGAATAGACTAAAACTTAGTCCTTGAGCATGGCTGCAGAGGACAGAGGTTTATAAAATAACTGCCAAGGCTTGTAGGAGAACGATTCATTGTTTCTCATAACCGGAACTGGACAGTTGTCAGACAGGTTTAACAAAGTCCTTTTGTATGTCCTTCAAATGCAGTTTTAGCTTTCATTAGAACACAAGTCCAGAGGAAAAGAAACACTTAGGTGAGCCTAGCAGGCTGCAAATACGATGGATCACTACTCACCCTGTTTAGCAGATGCTTAAGCAAAGGCAACGAGCAGAAACGGTTCCTGGCTAGATGGAGGTTAAATCTGACCAAGCACACCCAAGACAGTTTGGTCCTAAATCCGCACTAATCCACTTTCCTGTGTAGGCAGCGGGGAGTGCCTGGCCGTTACTTCCAACTGTATTTTATATTCTTGTCTGCGCATTCCAAGGAAGCACGGGCTACTAATAGAGTGCACATAAATCACTTCATGTTAACGCCTACTATTGAGGAACAGATTTTTAATATTTACTTAGGCAGAAGTAACTGAAAAGCACATACAAGCTTCAATCACTCCACAGTATTGGTCTTGCCCTTCAAGGATCTTCACACTGTTGTTTTTTGTTTTTTTTTTTTACATGGAATATTGCAACATTTTCCTTTTTGATTATTTGAAATAGGCAGGTAACAGGATTCTTGCTAAGGATGTAATAGTACTGTTTGAGACAATCTTTCAACTAGTTGGAGAACGTGAAAATAACACTAGAGCCTAATGAAATAACTTAAAAGTTGGCCAGTTGAAGTGCTTCTGCATTCTAAAAAACTTCAGAATACCATGACCAGACATTCAGAATAAAAGGTGAAGATTAAGAGGGACATTTTTAATGGATTTCTAAGTTAAAGATTAAATTTGCACACGGCAACAGAATGTTTCTGCAAGACAATACATGTATTCACATCCATGAAACAAAGCTTTCGTACAGAAAGGACCTAGATGAGAAAACTTCAGAACACACAAACTTCTGGTAGCACTCATGTTTTATTTCAATTAATCCACACAGACACAGAAATACATTACAGCAGTTTCTGTTAAGAAACCTCAGTTTCAACAAACGGCGAGGTTCCTGTTTAAACACGATCATTGAAGCTGTGTAGTTTTAGCCATTGCTTGTCTCAATTTCACTTTCAAGACGTTACAGGCAACAACTGGAGTAATCCAGTATGAATTCATAAATCAGCCACTCATCAAATCATGAGCTGACATTCCATATCACTTCCAACCCCTTGCACATGCTGGTTTCCTCCCTGTAAAATAAGTTTTATTTAATTTGCAGTCAGTGTCGCACACACAAGAGAGGTAACTGGCCTAAAGTTGAGCTGTATGAACACGCCACATGACTCTAACCCTAAAGTCAGAGCCATTTCTAATACAAATTTCTTCCTTTTTACAGGAGAGGATTTTCCTTTCTCATACCATTAGTATGGATTCTATTCCAGAGGACCAGCCGGATTAGAGTACATGGATCCAATAACTATTGTGACTATAAGCTTTCCTCAGATTTTTTCCAATTTAGATTGGCTAAATCTATATCAAGGTCTAACAATTTCCACATAGGTTTCCACTAGTTAAAGCTAATTTTGCTTTTGTTTTTCTTTTCATTTGATAATCCTTTTTACACTACGTACCTGGAGATCAATCAATTTACAAGGAACTCCTTTCACTCAAGATATTTCACATAGGTTCATGAAGCATCAACACACTTGAGAAACCTGGAAAATAAGATTTACATGAAACTGACATTAAGACTCAGATAGGGCGATAATCAGGTGACAGTTCAAAACCTACCGACAAGCTATTTTGAATGCAAGAGAGTTGATTTGGTAACTTCCCAAAGTTCAGTAGTGTCATCAATATGTTCCTCTCAGCATGTTCCAAAGAAGAGTTTCAACCTCACCTCTGGGTTTGGGAGAGAACTGCTGTACCCCTCTGTATTGGCCACTTAAGACACTGCCAGACTTAAGAGGGCAAAGCATAAAAGGGGAGTAGGTTATAGCACCAATTTTTTTGTTATTAAATGAGATGATCTGAACTTACAATTACTCAAAAGAGGTATTGCAATTTACTTGAAATCTGTGAATTATCAAAAAGCAAGATTTTATCTGCAATTATCATTACGCTAGAGCACACTTACCTTCTAGCAGAAGGTATTATTTGCTTCTAAGAAGTCCTGAGCATTGCTTCTAATTTAGGTGTGATCATCCATGTCTACATTTCAAACATGAAGTTGCTAACTGGGACCCCTAAAGAGCACAAAAAAAGACAAAATTATTAAATTATAATTTATATGATGTTAAATTACAGACCTTCTTAAAGCCGTATTCTACAAAGTTGCAGAAGTCATTACATGAAGTTCCTTATCAAATCAAGACCTAGATCAAAAGGTAGCAAATGGTTCAATCTGTTGAAAAGATTTTTTTCTAATCGGCCCATTTAAACCACATAGGACATATTTTTAACATCTTTTAAAATATACTGATAATCAGAAACAATGGAAAGTTTATTAAGCCTAAATTGCTTTTAGTGTTGACACTACCCTGAAGCAAGCTGTAAATTTTCAGGTTTAACAGACTGCTCTCTACCAGCCAATTCATTGCTACCTTGTGCCTCCTTACACATACCTTGTAACAAATTATATAGAACTCAGCCAAGAGACATCAACGGTCACCCTTACAGACGTACTAGAAGACTGGGCCAAAAGCCTATGCCATCAGTGCTTTTTCCCGTTTGAAAAGTTAAGTCCATTTGAACTTAAGTGCCTACAGCACTCAGTACCCAAAGCACTGCAGGTTGTAACTGTCGTTTTCTTGACGCAGCCTATAAAAAAGAAACCACTACACTGAATCAAATTTGAGGCCTGTGCAGCACAATACCTTTGATTTAGGAAAGAGAAGGGTACAAATGTACACAAATACCTCTTTGTCTCACGGTGAAACAGACCAGTACCCTCAAATGTACGTCTGTCTTTCAGCCTCAGGATTCAAAGCCCTCCGTTTCTGAAGCCCAAAGCCTTCCCTAAGCAGCCCTAGGCCGTGAGACGTGCGACGAAGCCGGCGTGCCCCCTTACCTATCGGCGTTCAGAGGCACCGCTCCAGGTCCCCAGCGCCTCCCACCGCTGCGGCCTCCTGCCCACGCCGGCAGCAGCCCAGCGACAAAGCCCTCGGGGCCATTTGAAGGCCTTGCCGGTACCTTGGGACGCTTTCCGCCGCCTCCCGCCGCGGGGGGCGCGTGCGGCCCGCGCCGCGCACTGCGGAGGGAGAGGGAAGTCAGCGCGGAGCAGCGAGGGGGCCGGGGAGGGGGAAAGGAGGGGGACGGCCGCCTGTGCCTCACGACAGGATGCAGGGCGGAGGGGAGGGCTCCGCTCTGGGTTTCTGTGAGGGAAAGGTGCTCTATCCCCCTGTGTTGACTCCTCGGACCACCGCCAGGCTCCGAGAGGGCAATATGTGAAGGGAAGACCCGAGCAGGTCCCGCCCCGTCCCCCCGCCTCAACCCCACACCCCGCCTGTTGGGAGCCCGGCGCTCGGAGCGGGAGCGCGTGG